CTATAGTTAGGAAAGCACTTAGAATGGCGCCAAGACTCAGTGAAATGCTGCCTCATGCCAGCATTTCTAGCAGCTACTAGTACAGCTACAACAGCTAGAGCGCTTTCATTGACTGACTTTGTTCTTTGTCAGCTTCATACACGGGTATAACGCATTCTGATCACCACCCCTCTCTCTTATCTCCTTACAGTCCACATCAATGTCCCTTCTCCATCCCTACCTCACCTTTCCCAGAACCATGGCTGTTGGTTTTACTTGTGACCCCTTTGGTATAATCAGGGCCATCTATGTGGGGACTTGACTGGAACTATCCATTAGAGCCTAATGGCTCCTTGCATCTCTCAGTGACCAGCAGTCTTCAGTCAGGGGTGGCCCGAGTCCTTTCTCCTCATGCTTAGCTTACTGCTGACATGTCCACTCATGTGATGCCCTAGTTCAAGCATCTGAGGCTGCTGCTGCTGGTGTGTGTGTGTGTGTGTGTGTGTGTGTGTGTGTGTGATTTGTATGGCTGTCGTTTGACTAGAAAAATCTCATCTTTCAGGCTCTTGTCCTGTCTTCTTCTGGCTCTTGCATTCTTTCTGCCACTCCCCCTCCCCTTTTCTGAGGTGTTTCTCAAGCCCTAGAGGGAATGGCATAGATGTGTTGTGCAGGACTATTAGATTACTATCATCTATTTCTACCTAGGGCCACCCCATTATTGCTCTAGGGCTGTATTTAGGAAGGAAGAAACCCATAACGGAAGTGGCTCCTCATTGTGAGAAAGAGTCCATTGATCTCCTGTGTCAGAAATAGGGAAATGGAGTTCTATTTTTTTTTTTCTTTTTGAGATAGGGTCTTGATCTACTGTCCACACTGGCCTAAAAATCTGGATTCCTCTCTCAGTTTCCAGAGTAGCTGGGACTGTAGGTGTGTGTCACTCTACACCCAGAAAGTTTCTTGATTGGAACCCAGGGGAAGTCCCAGCTAAACCCACAGAACCCGTCTGTGACCCTGCCAGGGCGATTGTGTTCGAGGAAGCAGGGCATTTCCTATTGTTCTGGGAGCCGGATGCCATTATTCACAGTGGATTTAGAGGAGAGAAATCATCTCAGGCTGTGAAGAAATTTTTGAAGATCTAATCTTTCCACCTCATTTGGGAGGAGTGTTGACAAATGGAAAGAACAAGGAGGGTAGGGAACAGTCATCAGTTTAGTAGCGCTCACAGGATAATTTGACATCTTTGTAGGGTGTCGCCTTACCACACTGAGGTACCAGAGTATGAATAAAAACTCTATTGCATTGGTAGTGACATCTATGCTAAGGAATTGGGACAATTAGAACCATATAAACTAACCTAACGACAGATGTCCAGGTCCCAGAAGGGTGCTGGTGGGAAGTGCTGTGTGGTGACTTGGGGGTTACAGGCTGCAGATTCAGACTGCCAGGGGCAAGGATCCTCCAGCTGATGTGTGTGCGAGTTCCCAGACACTGAATACCTTTTATTTATTCTGTGACAGGAAAGTGGGTGGGTGTGAGGAGGGACAGCAAGGGGAGACACGGTGTTTCAAAGTTAACATGGCTTCATCAAGTCCATGGTGAAGATGAGGCTGGTGACGTGTGTGTGTGTGTGTGTGTGTGTGTGTGTGTGTGTGTTTGTGTGTGCTGCGCGCGCGCGTGCGTGCTGGGAGGTTACTCCATGATCTTTCAGGGTTTCTTGAATTCATCCTCAATTAACTTATAAACAAGTAGAAATACAATATGGAACACACACATTTGTCGTGGTGAGCCAGCTGTTTGTTTTTCTCTCTGAACCTGTGGAGCCCATGGTCACACGCCCTGGCAGGGAACACACTTCTGAGAATTAGAACAAAGAAAAACAGCAGGAAAATGAGCTGGCGTTTGAACCTTGATCAAGGTGAAGACTCTGAAAAATCTGAGCGTTCTGGAAGCTCACATCCTAGGGAGACAGAATGGAATCCAGGCCTTGGTGAAAAGGGTGTCTTTGGAATTGGCTGATGGGTATGGGTGGGGGGAAGCCATGCTGGGGACAGGGAGCAATGGTGTAACATGTTCAGTCTCCCTAAAGTGCCTAGAATCCAAGTCCCTTTGCCACAGAGTTTAACCCTGTTGGGCCTAGTGTGGCCGAGAGATTGTCTCCTAATTCGTTAACTCATTTGATCAGAAAGAAACAGCAACTCCTGGGAGCCCCTTCACTATCTAAGGTGTGTTCAAAGCCTGGCAGAGTTGGCTGCACTCCAGAGTGCTGTTTCCTGAGGTGACTGAGCCCTAGTGCTCACACAATCACCAGTGGAGCAGACATCCCCTTTGTCAGCTCCTTGCCTATTGGCTCTCAGCAGCTCCAGCCTCTTGTGGGAGTCGGGCATGACAGACTCAGCTAACCATAGCCACCAAGCTGTCCTTCCTTTGAGGCCCCTGCAGTTTTCTCAGATTATTTTATAACCAGCTTGACATGAACTTGGTATCTGGAATGCAGGTCCACACTTTCCATGATACACAGTACAAGTGAGGTTAGAGACATGGCATGGGGGTCCTAGAAGCCCCTGGAGATGAGGCACCGTCTAAAAGGTAATGTTTAACCATCTGTCAGACCTCGCAGGCATTCTGTATACATGCCAGACATAACCCTGAGCTAATGATGGCAAAGCCAATCAGCAAACAGGATGCCTGACAGCATCTATCCATTTCTAGAATGGCAACTCCTTTTTCTCAGTCTTTATAATTCACGAAGGAGGAACAGGTGTGGTTCCTCCCGAGACAGGTGCAGTGGGCCTTCTCAGCCCATCAGTTTGCTTTCCTGCTGTGACTCAGATTGGTGGTAGTAGGGAAACTGCCTTCCTTTTGTAAAGTACCATCTAGTATTTAGGAAATTGTGACAGCTCTGGCTTTTCCCATTGGGATTTCAGAACAAATTCGACACATATCAGTGAACGCAAGTTAAATTACAAATTATTTATATCTTGATCCACAGTGATGACTGATTATGTATGCATTATTACTAAATTGACATTTTAGGCAAAACATTGGTTATATAGGATTAATTTCATATTTTACAGCTTAAAACACCTAGGACATGATTGCATTTTCCCCTCATCAAATAGAAATATTGCACCATTGTGCGATTATATTAAATGTATCACAAATAATAAAGTCAACATTGAAATGCCTGCAAGGTCAGTGTAGTCGTTCTTCTACTGTGTGTAGAAAGTGTGTTTTATTCTTTGGGAGGATTTTGGATATAACTTGCTGTGGACTAAGTTAAATTTCTCCCCAAACTCTACATTGAGTCCCCAACTCCCAGTATAACCATGTCTGTGGACTGTCAGGGGGTCTGGAGTCTAATGAAGTGGTGACAACAGAATCCTGATGTGTTAGGATTGATGTCTCTGTGGAGGGGGAAGGAAGGGGGAGGAAGGGGGAGGAAGGGGGAGGAAG